AAAAGATAAATTATATGGAGAACAAGTTACAATATTATCTGAAAAACAAAAGAACTCTGATGAGAGAGATTTGAACGATGGAAACAACAGCACTGAGAAAAAAAATAAATACCATTCTAAAGTAGTAGAAAAAAAGACAAGGGTTTTATATGCAGGAGAAGTTATTTTGGGATTATCTATTTGTTATGGTATTGTATTAATTGAATTTAATGCAAATGATGAGTAAATGATAAATGATGATTCTCTGGAAGAAAAATTTGAGGGTGGTGATGCTTTTAATGGGGACTATAAGGAAGAAAACATATATGTTTGTTTTTACAAGAATTATAATTCTCTTGAGTAAATGCATATTATTACTTATACATATAAAAATATATTTTATAAATCATATTAAATAAGAACATTAAAATAATCCATTTTAACAAAGTTCAAGATGTTAAGATATGCACAAATAAAATATATTGTCCAAATAAGGATAACACAAAAAAAGACTAATTTCATAAACACCTAATTATAGTTGTAATATATAAGTGTATATATATATGTTATATATACTATCTAATTTAATCATAATATAATAACTACTGTGTGACCACATGTGCCAGTAATATAAAATGAACATAATTTTTAAAAAGGCTATCGCTAAAAATTAGAACGTCTAAGTTAGTTTGAATATATCAAATATCAATTGAAAAAAACAATATACACTTAACCGAAACACGAAGCATAATAATTAAAACATGAACCCTGAACCATAAATTCTTAAAAAAAAAAAATTTTTTATCACAACACAATTTATTAAATAAATATATATATATTACATAATAATATACATATATAGAGAATAAAAAAAATATATTTACAATTTATTGTAAATTATAATGTATAACATTAAATAATCATTATATAATATAACGAAATATATATAATTAAATTTTAAAAAAATTAAAATTATTTCATTGAATATATATTATATATTATAATAATAAAAATATATGATAAGAATTCTAAATTAATACATAATTTTAATATTCAAGAAGAAATTCTCAATTGATTAGTCTATATGATATATCTGTGGAAATGAAAAGAAAAATAAAATTCTGAAATCTCATATGTAAGAAAATAACCAAAAAAAAACAATTTAGTGTACTGAAACTTATTTCTTGAAAAAAAAGTATAGTCCTGGTATTTTTTATGATTTCTTTAAAAGTTCTTTTTTTGTTAATATTTAATGAATTAATTATAATAGTAATGTACATATATTTAATAAATTTTTTAATGAATTATATTCATATATATATCTTATGAATTTTAACTTTTTTTTTATTTTCAGAAATCAGAGAAATCATATATATGTAGGATGAGTTCAAGTGTGAACTGGGATGATGTGTACAATACTTATACAAAGGGTACATCATTTCCAGAATCAGATACTCTAGTTAGTCATTTAGGAAATCTTAAAAACTTTTTGGATCAGTTAAATTATAATGGAATAGGGGGAGTTACGCTTAATGCACAAAATTGCGATTCATTCAATATATGGATGGACGAGAAAAGATCAGAGTATATATGCAATAGAAATAAGGTTGAGTATAATATAGAGGAAATTTTTCAATCACAATTTTGTAATAAAGCCAATTATTCTGATTGCTGTGTTGTTAAATATAGAGATAATGTGTGCTATGGATCATCATCAATGAATAGTGCAGATTTATCGTCAACAAAAAATTATGCTGTTACATATGATGCACAGATAATAAAATTAGTTTATTCTATTGGTTTTCCCGTTCTAATAGTAGTTATCCTTTTATTTTATTTATATTATAATGTAATATAAAATTTAATTTAAAAAATTAAGAATAACCTTATCGAATTTTTTAAATTTATAAAACGTTAACATTATTTCTACAATATATACATATTATATTTTGTCTTAATTAATATATTATATATAGTATACTAAAATAAAAAAGATTATATATAATAAATATATAAAGCTGAATTCAATAATAAATAATATACAAAACAGTTATTCCTCTAATAATATTGAAGAATTTTACATAAGTCTGGAAAGGAAAAGAATTAATATACATTATCCAACTAAGAAGTATGAATAACTATAATAAATCTCAAATTACCTCAAATAATTATTGAATATTTTCACTAAATAACGATACCATATTTTATAATATAATTGTATTAATATAAAAAACTAGAAAGAATAAAAAATACTATAATAAATTATAAAATTAGAGGCTTTATAATGCAGGGTTTAAAGTATATTTTTAGTGTTCGTGCTTTATGATACTATGCTTAATAATTATTTTATCATAATAAATTTATTATGGTTCTTAACATTATTTTTCACTATAGAAATTGCATGTGTCCTATATTATTCCATAACATAAAGCAGTGGTCTACTATTTACATCCAATTT